TGGCATCTGAGTAACCTTCTTCAGCATACAGGAAATAAGCACTAGCTAATTTCATTTCTGGGCCTTGAAGTGCCTGAGCAAACAGCTTCACTGTTTAAAGGAAATAATTTTTCATACATCAGGTCTGAACGATGAAACACCAGTTACATCCAGTTTGGTACTAGTAACTTAGGACTCTGATTACTGGACAATAACTATGCATGATCTGTTCTCACTTAAAAATTTGAAGTCCTTTTTTTTTAAGAACAAGAAAAGTTAACCTAGGGTAGTAGTAATTTCTTATGTATTAGTTATTAATAACGATAGTTATTCATAATAATGAATAGTAACAGGTTTACAGTCACAGTAATATTAATATTAACAGGTTTTTATGATATTTTTTCACTGCCTATTTGAGGATGTTTACCTTTTTTTAGTCTTGTATGTACTTTTATATACTTTTGTGTAATGAGTTTACAAATCAGCCATTAGTTCTTTAATGCTGAATTATTTGTGGGTAAAAAGAAATCATTCAAATCCTTTAAAAATAGGTCTAGCTATATGAAGAACTAAAATTTTTTGTTACATTTTTCATTTAGGCTTTATTTTAAAATAAGGACTTAGAGCAAATTATAGCATCTTAGTTTTCAGACAACCTTCATTTTTGTGCGAATGCATTTTACCCTTAACTGAAGTAGTGAAGTGAAGCTGAGATGTCAAATCCTTGGCCTCTCATGCAGTTGCTGAATATTGCGCTGTTTATTAAACTTTTAAATATTTCAACCATGACATGAGAGCATGAACCTCTATTTGGGAAAAAGTACCATTTGTTAATGGTGGTCAAGTCAAGTTAACAAAGTTTCCTTTTTGAAGGGAATTCTGCAGGGTTATTAGAATATTTAGTATTGATGCTGCTCTAAAAAGACTGAAGCTACTGTCGTGAGCAGAGGCAGTGGGAAATGCTTGTGTGAATTTGGGAAATGTTGCACAAGAATCTGGCAATACTGGTGGGAAAAGATCTCTTTGGCTTGAGCAGAAACCCCACCTTTGAGAAAAGCAAGAACTTTCACTGTTAATCTCTGAATCCAGTTTTTCCTGAGCCACAAGCTTAGCTCTCACCTTCGCTCTATTCCTTCCTCTGGCTCTTGACACAGGTCTACTAACAATGATGGTTGTGAGAAGCTGTGGCAGTATTTTAAGAAGTAAAAAAACAAAAAAAAGATTTGTAACATTCTTTATCTACATCCATCTGCCCAGTTATATCATTCGGTAATAATACAGAAAAAAAATGCACTTTCCTATTTCAGTCAAAGCACTTCATACATTTTAATGCATTGAATCCTTAAATATCCTAAAGCACAGGTTAATGACATCCCTGTTTTAAAGCTGGAAAACACAGAAATAGAGAAGCTAACATAGCACATTTCAAGCATCTGCAGACTGTTAGCTTCTCATAAAAAAATTAAAATACACAAAATCATTGAAACTTTTTTTACAGTGAAGGTCATACTGAGTTGGTTGGGCTGCAGTGTACAGCTGTGGCAGTATCAGGAAAAGAAGAGTCCCACATTTTTCTTCTGTCTTTTCTTTAGAGTGATTCTAGGAAATGTGAAAGTTATGAAAATATTACTAAATTAACATAAAATCATTAACAAATATTTCTTTATTAAGTACCAAAAATGTAGAAAACCATTTTGCAGGATATCAAAAAGTCAAAATTGTGACAAGTTTTGGAAGTCTTATGACAAGTTTTGGAGTCTCTATTCTTTGGAAAATGTCATTTTCATTTTAAAAGATTGGCAGAAAGCAGATTTTTTTAAAGGTTTCTCAAAAATCCAAGCAGCAATTATTTGATTTATTTTAAAATATAATTCAAAGCAACTTAAAGGGACGCAGCTAAAAAAAAATGCATTAAACACAGAGAAATTTGAATTTACCTATAGTTGTTTCACTTTCTGTCATAATAAAGCAACACATTAACAAAGTAAAATCCGAAACTCTGGCTTTCAATATATCTGGCACTTAAGAGGCTGTAGTGAAAACAGTCTATTTGTTCTGCTGTCTGTATTTGGACTGTAAATAGAACGAGAACTGTGTTTCAGCACATGGGCTTGCCCTTTCCCATTGGCCAGATGAGCAAAGGTCCTCTGTTTGTTCGGCAAAACTCTTAAGCTTAGAAAAGTACCACTTACCCCTTTCCCTGTCCCCATCTTCGTCATGCCTAGGGGTGCTTCTAACTAACCCTAAAACATGCCACTGCTCTTGGTGGCATAATTACAATAGAATTGAAAATGATTTTATTCTAACATGGTTTTAATGGTTTTATTCTAACATGTTTTGCTTTTACAGAACTCAGATGTGCCAGGTACTGATTGCTTCATTCTTGGGGGCTCCAAGTCCCTTTAAACTTCAAAGCTACTTAGGGGTACTCAGCACTTTAAAAAATCATGCCCATAATTCTCCTCCACCTCCAGTTTTGAGCAGCTGTGTGCATTTCATCCATCATTAGCCAAGGAAGCCCACAGTCCAGATACTGGAAGGCTGCTGTCAACGGCTTTCCAACGTTGCCATGACACATCAGCCACAATCACCCATTGCGGTTGGGAAGCAGGCCCCGTGGTGCCGTCCTGTGCCACATCCTGCACCACTGCTGCCAACCAGGGCTCATGCAGGTGGTACAGACCCTTATCTGGTGTGGTGGTGGCAAGGTTTTGCTCAGTCAAAACAAGCAGCTTAACGCCTGAATCTTCATCACGCCCTGTTCCTTGCTTCCTTGTTTTTATCCCTGTAGGAGTTTTCATCCTTTGAAAATAAGAAAAAGATCATATTTTGCTTCAGTTTCTGAAACCTAGTCATTTTTTCCAGACTTTCTATTTCACGGTGTTTGAATTTTATTAAGATCTCTTTACACAAAAGCAGAGCACCAGCTATATGATGCCCTGAGGGATCTGAAAGGCTGTTGCCATAATGTCGCAAAACTCTGGAGACATTTTATTTCTACCAGAAGCTCTTTGGAGAATTGTGGCTAAGGATATAAAATATTTTAAATGTTTACAGCAGGGATCTTGATCTCTGTTGGAATTTAATACAAAAGCTTTTATTTTTTAGTCTATTAATTAGTGTACCACATTAACACTGAATTGTCTTACCTGTATATCTGTCTATGATGTGGATTGTATTTTCTTTACATCTTGAGATGGGGAAGACTATTTTTATTCCAGAATTATGGATAATATCCTTGTGGATGGTATCATGAATCACCGATTCTTAAGACTGTGACTTTTTTTTCAACACCTCAGTTGATCATTACTAAGTATATTCACCAGGTAATTTCCAGAAGCACCTCTGTTTTATCTGTTTCTGTCTCCAGCACTCTCTGGTCATCCAAAACCAGCCATGCATAAGTTCTTTATAGGAGGCTCACAAAAACACATCTCCTCCAGTGAATAGGCAAAGCTTGTCTAAGGGTTAATAAGGTGTTTTTTTCACTGGTCAACCTTGACATCAAAAGCAACTGCTGAACTCTTAGTAGTCTCTTACATGGCACAATAGTCCTTTTCAGACATGTCTTGAATTAAAATTGTGTAGGAAACTGTATTCTAATTTGACAAAAAGAGGTCTCATGAAAAAAATATTCCATTTTCAAAAAGCTGCAATGTAATAGTGTGTGTGCGTGCATGCAATATGTCAGGAAGCATACTTAAATGACTCTTTAATTCAAACAATATAGATCTATAGGTTCATTTGACAGGAAAATATTTTATAAGATTTAATATATGAAAAATCTTACAGAATATGGGATGCAAACTCTAAAGATATTGATATTTAAAAAATTGTTAGAATGTTGGACTATTTAGGACACATTTTTCTAAAATGCTTTGCAGGTCTTTATGCCTTAGGCTTTTGGGGGCCATGCTGGATATGCTGTGATATTAAAAAAAAATTAGACTGCTAATTATAATAAAAGCAACTAAAACATTAAAGGAATCTGGTATTTTAAGGCAAATCAAAATCTTTTTGTTGTTGAAGGGTATTATGCATCAGTGACTCAAGTCAACAATATTCTTTCACAGATAACAGAAAATCTTTACAGGAAGTATCAGACCAAAGAAAAATGATTTTTTAATCCCATTTCTAAAATTTCAAGTCTATAAAAATACAGAAATCTGACACTGATAATATAATGGAACTACTAATATAAATATGACAAAATGCACCACTGTTTAACACCAGATATATGTATCCTCAAAGTAATGGTCACTCAATGATCTAACACTGTTGTTTACTCCCATTTTCTATATTTCCCAGCCATCTTTGTTGTTGAATTTACAGCTACAGTGATACCACAGATAAGGATAAGAGCAGTTGCTCTCTCAAAAGAAGAAAGTGAATTTTATTTCTGGTGGTTTTTTTCACAATTTAATCTTACACTACAAAAATACTGTTCCTATTGTCAAATATACTGAATGTTTTTTATAATTATCAAGATAGCTTTAGACACTGCCTCACATAAATGTACTAACAGAGACAGTTGTAAATTAACCCTCTTAATGCTGTCTTTCAATACAGCTTTTTTGTAGTGATTAACTATAATAGCATTTTTAATTGGTCAACATTCTCTTAAAATGTCAGCTTTTCAAAGTCATGATGTGCTATGTACTTCTGGCATCATTTGGTTAAGAAAATTAAATTTATCTGTCCCACTTACCAGTGCAGACATTTGAAACAATGCTGGAAATAGCGGACTGTATTACCTCAAGTTTTTATTCTATGATAAAACTTCTTTTTCACTCTCCAGATGATGGTTGAATCTAAAGGTTAGGCTCATGAAGTTTTGCACATCTCTTGGAATATGTCTCTCTTCAATTGTAAAAAAAACTGCCAATGTTCAGAATTCCAGAGTTTTAACTACAAAAGTTGGCATTTTCTACTACAAGGTGTGCACTTTTTTATAATAGTTAGATACAAATTACACAGTACTCATTTTTTTTTCCTTCCGTTCTGTTTAAATCTCACTGCAGGATGTGTGACACAGGAGAAGGGCTGTTCACCTTTCAGACACGAGAAGGAGAAATGATATATCAGAAAGTCCATTCTGCAACACTGGCAATAGCAGAGCAACATGAAAGATTAATGATGGAGATGGAGCAGAAGGCACGGGTAAGTTCCTTCTTTAGACTTATAAAATCTAGTAATGAGAAAAAGAGGTATGGAGCAATAGCAGCCTGTGGATTCAGCCATAATGGCGGTATTAGCTCTGTGGCTAAGACAAAACAGACTTTAGGTTTTATGTACTTTCACAGCACATAAAATTTTCAGCATGTCCTACACAATGGTCTGTTGTTGGTGTCTTTTTGGAATGGTGGCTGCCATTAAATGCTAGATCCATGGTTACCATCTTGAAAATTGTGGCTCTATTACTCAAAGATTAAAACTTTAGCTGAAGCCAGCTGCGAGTTGACGGTGAGTAAGTGTTAATTGCTCCTCATGGCCTTACAGGCAATAAAAATAGTCCAGTATAAACACCCCTAAGTGACAGCACACACGTTCTGTTTTTCTTAATCCCAGAAAGATATTTCTTTCCCTACACTATCATAAATGGCAATGCAATGTTGGTTCAAAAAGAGGGGTTTTTTAATTTTAAGTTCAGAATTTCCAGTTTGCACAAGTTATCTTTAAGCAATTACTGAAAAGTTTGGAGTTTTTTAGGACAAAAAGAAAAAAAAAAGTGTTTCCTGTATGCTTAAAATTAGAGATGGTCTTAAATAATCATTCCCAAAAGCTAACTTTCAACTGTGGTTTGAAGGTCCTTTTATATCCACCAGAGAGGAAAGATATGGGGAGGACAGAGAACCTGGTTTACGTGCTTTTCCTCTAAGGTGACCACAATTCCCCACGTCTTTTTCCCTAGAAAGAGATTTCAGTGTAATTGCACCATTTCGGGTGACTCTCTCTTCCTTCCTTCCCTCACACACCATGCACGTGCCCACAGTCAAGCAAACATGACTCCCCCAATAAACCATCACAGTCAAAATATCTCGCTCACACTTTTGAGAGAAAAGCTCTTGCAAAGGGCAACTCAAGACTTCAGTGTTTAACTCCTTCTCCTGATTACTCCCCCGATAAGTCTATCTTCCTCTATTTATTGAAAAAGAAACTTGAAAAAGACTTAAATTTCCATGTCAAAATCTGTTATGTTGAACACTTCCCTCAGATTTTGCATGTCTCAGTCAGAGCCAAGGGACAGGAAGCCATAAAAATGGGGTTTTTGGTGGTTTTTGAAGAAAGGTCGATGAGCTTTTCAACAAAAATAGACAAAGTATGAGCATTTCCACAATAGTTGAGATGCACGAATTTTGGGCAGAAAAAGCAGGAAGAGGAGAGTTCAGAACTGAGATTAAAATAAGGTTAGGGACACAGGAGCAATGGCTGGAAAGTCCAAGACAAGACAAATGATAGAGTAAATGAAAAAGCATCTGAAGCAGTAGAAATGCTGGCAAAAACCCCCTGCATTCTTTTGGGCAGAAAGTAATTGAATAATAGTCCAAAACCAGGAAAAAGCATCATTATAAACATGTTTGCTTTTAAAGTGTCTACACCAGTAAGAGAAATGAGAGCATTTTCATCCTCCTGTAATAAGTGCTTAGACCAGGATCATGTGGGATTTTCCTTTCATGAAAACACCACTTTCAAGTCTTCCAGCTATCGATTAGTAGCTTTGCTGCTTAGCAAGGCCGTTTCTGTTCTGCCATCAGATGACTTCCTTGAAACCTCATTTATGAATGCTGTGGCCAGATGGTATGTAATATCAAACTCTGAGAGCAGGTTGAGAAATAGAAATGATTCATCAGCCACAGAGTGTATAATGTACTTGTCTCTGGGATGCGGCTGCGCTGTAATATGCAGAGGGAGGTCGGTAGAGGCTGGTAGAAGCTGTGGGCTGCATAAAAGAGGCTGAAAAATCCGTTGATTCTACAGTTTAAGCTAATGTAGTTTTGGTTTTGGAAGCTCGGCTGCTCCTGACTTTTAAGGGGTCATCTGTGGGGGTTGCTGAACTTTTAAGGGGTCATCTGTGTCGTCTGCATCATTTGAGTTGTATTCATGTTAGAAACCAAATCTGAAGATACTAAATAGACTAAGTACGTGTTATTTTCCTTTTATCAAGTATAATTGCTTCTCCAGTATCTAAATCCAACACTTATGCCTATATATATTTTTTCATGAAATTGAAATACAAGCAAGAGTATATTTTTAAATCAAGGATCTAGAGGCCATAAATGTCTTTTAGGTCTTCCCAAAGCTTGACCTTTGATCCTTTCTATCTGCAGCTCTATAGTTGCAGGTTTTTGCTCTTTCCAGACCCTTTCTGTACTGAACAGCTCATGTTTAATATTATAGAATTAAATCCTTTTTTTGGTAAAGGTGAAAATGAAAGGAATTTTTAAAAGTAAAGAAAGCTTAATGCTAATGCATTATTATACAAAACAGAAAAAGGGAAGAAACATAATGATAATTCCAAATTTACTCCTTCTTTCATTCATCATTAGAAGTTATATATTAGAAAGCACTCCTGAATATTTGTGTGTTCTTTCCTAAATATTAACACATTTTAAGTATAATTACTTATAATTACTTCAAGGTATTAATATACATTGAAGTTTATTAGTATATTAATATACACTGAAGTTTCATTTCATTTTTTCCAGATTATAATAGGTTGTAATTCAATATTATAAAAAGTGAATACAGTTTATAAAGGAAATGAATGTGCATTTTTTACCAAAGCAACTTTGATACATATTATGATTAGTTCTCATCATGACTATACAAAGTTTGCTGCCTTACTAATAAAAAGGACACAAAACACACAAAAAACCCAGAAATTAATTCTGGCAGAATTAAAAAAGTAAAGTTAGTTACTGCTGCCAGAGACTTGCCAGATAAAGGTATTGCAAGCAGCCACAGACCACACTTACTCAATTTATGGAGGTCTCTGCACACAAAAATACTGTTTCAGAATACTAAGCAATAAATTCATTTTCATGCTAAGAAATCCTTTGCTCAAGCCAAGTAACATGCTGGATAACTATGTGAAATAGAGAGAGACATGAGAAGGAAACTAATTCTTCCCATTAGCTTCAAAAGTGCATGGATTGGATGCAAAATTGTTCTGTGGAAGCTAGTACAATATCATGTCTGCCTCACTGGCATCACAAGCAGAAGAAGCCCAGTCAGTTTAAGTAGGCAGTCATGTGCGCACTTTTGTCTTCTGCCCATTTCTCTTTCAAATTATAACACTGGAACAAGGACCTGAAATTTGGGGTGAATAATCACTGGCACAGGTATGGTTTCAAGATGGTTATAAGTTTTACTGGGACTGTATTTTATTCAAATATTATGGCAAAGTGGACAATGATCTAATATGGCTCAGGTGGTCTTTACTGAGTTTGAAACATTAAATTGGCAGAATGATAATGTTTTGTGCTCACTTCGTTTGGGACAATAGTAAATCTGGGCCAATGCTAGTACTTAAATTTAAATTCTTTTCGGGGAAATTGTTCTCTGTATGCTCACTTTTTTCAGTCTTTCTGTTTTAATTGGATCACTGTAACACAGATGCTAATTCTGTTTTGCAGATGTTTTTGGGGAGGAGGTGACATTGGAGTTTGCTAATTTGGTAAAAAAAATCTAGCTAAATGGAATAGGATTCTGTAGGGTTACTGAGCTGAATTAGTTTACAGAGGCAGTAATAAACCATTATATCTTCTCAATCATCCAGTCCTGAGGAGACAAGAGAAAAGAATAATGCACTCTCCATAAATGTTGAGTATTGCTCTCCTTGCAAGCAGTAGATGATGTTGGTTTTCATGATCTGTTTTTAAAGAGTCTCAGTTAAGCTAATTTTCACACACCAGAGTATGAAAACAGTTGTTCTCAGCAGCTCTTGTCTATCTAACCTCTACACCAGGATGGCAACATGCTTACAGGAGCATGGCATTGGAATTTAAGACCTGATTTTCTTCCCTAATACCAGCTTTGATCTTCTGCCACTCAGCCTCCACTAAAAGCCCTTCTGGTGTAACTTCTGCACCCACTATTCCAGTGTATAAAATAGGAGTTAAGAGCTGTAGATTTCTCATGTTATAACTACACATATGAGTGAGGCATACTAAGGGAAAAAGTCATACCTTTGTAACCTTATAAATCACTATTTTCAAGAGCTGCCAGTAAAAACCTATTATGTAATCTCAAAAGAATAAAAATTTACAATGTGTAAAACAGTAATTCTAAATAAGATAGCACTAAAGTTGATGTTAGCTAGCTGAAGTTAATCAAATATTGGTAAGACTGAAGTATAAATGCATGAAGAAATGATGATGGAGCAAGTTTCATAACATTATCATAGGAAGTTTTCTATGACACTTGTTTTGCTTTAGACAGCAGAGCTGTAAAAATGATGTCATTTAAGATTGTGATTCTTGTAACATTTACCAGAAGACAAACGCCTTTATGAAAAACTGCATCTCTATATTTCTCTTCCGTTCTCATTATTTACAAGTCTTGTCTCTAATATTCAGCTTAGCATAAGTGAATGAGTCATCATGATAGATTTGTGTCATTTAAAAAAGATAATATCAATGAGTTTATGTATTTTTTTTAAAAAAAAAGTCTTATTGGGAAGGAAATAATGAATGTGCCAAAGAAGACAAATGCCAGGCAATGAAACTGGGCTTAAGCAGAGGTTGGAGAGGAAAGTGGCTGAGAAAGAAGCCTGCGAGTCATTTAATCTTTCTCTTTCTTATCTACAACAGAATGAGGAAAGTAACAGTATTTCATAGGGCTGGTCTGAGGATGAATATAAATTACAGGGTTGTCAGGCATGGTATTAATAAGAATGTAAATACAATAAAGAATATCAATGTAAATCGTCTTAGAATCATAAAAGAAAACATCAAAGTCTGAGGCTGGAGAAAATAACAGCAATAGTTTCATAGTGAACTTTTAATTTAGCTTTGCTCTGTAAACAGGTCTATACTATTTCTACGCGTATTTTTAACCTGATCACAACCTAAACAAATACTACAAATACTCATTGAAGCAATACAGGATCGAATACTATCAACAAACACATCAAACATTCTAAATTTTCATTTTAAAAT